AAACCTGAATATTTGAATCACTAGCGACAATCTTGGGAGACTCTAGGCCATAGGATTTGAGGAAACCACACATAACATTAACAAACTATTAGCTTCTAAAATATTCCTTATGTACACAGATGCCTAGAAACAAGAAAATAAAAACAAAGTTGGGTCCTAACTGATAGAATTTTTTTTGTTTTTTAGTATTTTCTCTCTCTCTCTCTCTCTCTCTCTCTCTCTCTCTCTCTTTTAAAATATATTTTATTGATTTTGTACAGAGAGGAAGGGAGAGAGAGAGTTAGAAACATTGATGAGAGAGAGTCATCAATCAGCTGCCTCTTGCACACCCCCTACTGGGGATATGCCCGCAACCAAGGTACATGCCCTTGACCAGAATCGAACCTGGGACCCTTCAGTCCCCAAGCCGACGCTCTATCCATTGAGCCAAACCGGTCCCGGCTCTCTCTCTCTTTTTATAAGAGTATTTATTGCTATAAGGAAGGAGCTCTTCAATGACAAGTCTTACATTTATATACAGCTCTTCATATGATTCTTACAGCAGCCTTGAGGAACTGGTGATCTGATGCTTTTGACCATACGAAGCTTAACTAGAAAGTTTAAATGATTGGGCAGAGATAGCAGAAGGGTCACAAAGCAAGGAGCTTAGAGCCAGATACCTGTGTTCAAATCCACTGCCACTCACTGTAACTTGATCTTGGCAAGTTACTTCATCTCTCTGTGCTTCGGTGTCCTCATCTATAAAATACAATCCTGGAGACGAATGTTTGTTCCCCTCCGAAATTCACATGTTGAAATCTAACCCCCAATAGGATGGTATTAGGAGATGGGGCCTGTGGAGGTGACTAGATCATTAGAATAAAGCCCTCGTGAATGGAATTATATGGGTCCTTTATAAAAGAAACCCAAGAGCCCTAGTCAATTTGGTTTCAGTGGATAAGAGAGTGGGTCCTCGGACTGAAGGGTCCTTATCAAGGACACGTATCTTGGTTGCAGGCTCCATCCTAGCCCTGGTTAGGGCAGAGTGGGAGGCAGCCAATCAATCAATGATTCTCTTTCATCATTGATGTTCCTATCTCTCTCTCCCTCTCCCTTCCTCTCTGAAATCAATAAAAATATACTATATATAAAAAAAAGAGGGAGATGAGAGGAGAATGAGAGCAAGCTAGCTGGAAGATGTTAATTGGGAGAAAAAGGGAGCCTATGTAATATTTTCAACAATAAAGATTAAAAAACAAACTACTGCAACAGACTGGTAGTAGACACTATGTGCCAGGCCTTAAGATAAATCCTCCCCATTCCTAATATCTTTGAATCCTCTCAACTACTACTATGGAGTAGAAGGCACAGAGCTTATAACTTAACCTGGTTATACAGCCAATAAGCTATAACATGGTTATAGCCAGGATATGAATCAAGCAGCCTTCACTCGAAAGCACAGACCTTATATTATCTTCTCTGGAAAGTATAAACATTATACCACCAATCTCTCCTAGTGGCCATATACTACCCTCTCCCCACCTCGGAATCAAATCAAATGTTCTACAGTCCTTCCGTAATCCCAAGTGTCTCACTGGCTTTTACCAATCAGAAGCCTGCACATGACAACAAGAAGAGCCTGTCTGGTGTGGTCTTTACGGGGTGGTAAAGCCTCTGCAGAAAGTTCCACCAGGAGACGGTGACGTTTTTACTACCTTTTCACTCCCCTTTGGGGGCTAACTGGTCACCCTTCTGTAGGTCAGCCCCAGGAAGGCCTGGGGGGGAGCGGGAGGGAGGGGCACAGGGGCGTCCCAACCAGAAATTTCTAACTTTTTTTATTTTTAATTATTAATCCTCTTCTGCTGTGGTTTTATGTTGTCCATTTTTTTAATTGTTTTTGTTTTGTTTTTTTACTTTTACTTTTTACCTCTTGTGTATATGTAGCAAATTTATAGGGAAATATGTATGTACTTTATGGAATAAATTTTAAAAACTAAAATATATTTTATTTTAAAGTAACGGACCTTTAATCTTACGCAGCTAAATTACTGATTATATATTTGCTGAGCTGACTAAACGGTTCAGAAAATTGTATCAAGAGTTTTATTTTTTTACTCCATAGCCTTCTTAATAAAGTCTTTTTATTACGTACGAAAAAAAAAAAAAAAAGAAGAAGAAGGAGAAGGAGAAGGAGAAGGAGAAGGAGAAGGAGAAGGAGAAGGAGAAGGAGAAGGAGAAGGAGAAGGAGAAGGAGAAGGAGAAGGAGAAGAAGAAGAAGAAGAAGAAGAAGAAGAAGAAGAAGAAGAAGAGCCTGTCTGGAGAAAATACTATCCTTACCAAATGCCACTTCTAAAAATTTTTAAATTAAATTCAGAGAGGGCCAAAACCGGTTTGGCTTAGTGGATAAAGCGTCGGCCTGCGGACTGAAGGGTCCTGGGTTCAATTCCGGTCAAGGGCATGTATCTTGGTTGCCGGCACATCTCCAGTAGGGGGTGTGCAGAGGCAACTGACCAATGTTTCTCATGGATGCTTCTAGCTCTCTATCCCTCTCCCTTCCTCTCTATGAAAAATCAATAAAATATATTTTAAAAATAAAAATTAATTAATTAATTCAGGGAGGGAGGAAGGGATGGAAGTGGTAGAAAGAGAAAGACAGATAAAGATAGAGAGAGGGGGAGAGAGGATAGAGATAGAGAAATATCAGAGACACACATGTATGGGTTGCCTCCCATTCTCTGAACCACAACCTAGGTATGTGCCTTGACCAGGAAGTGAACCGCCACCTTCAGTGCACAAACACTCCTACTGAGCCACACCAATCAGGGCTCAAATGCCATATACATATTGTTACTGATTTCAGAAAGGAAGGGAGAGGGAGAGAGGGAGAAATATCAATGATGAGAGAGAATCATTGATCTGCTGCCTCCTGCATGCCCCGACTGGGGATCAAGCCTGAAACCCAGGCATGTGCCCTTGCCTGGAATCAACCCGGAACCCTTGTCTGCAGGCTGACACTCCATCCACTGAGCCAAACCAGCTAGGGCTCAAATGCCACTTTTTCAAGACCGGCAGGTGTGGCTCAGTGGCTGAACACTGACCCGGGAAATCATGGTCTGATTCCCAGTCAGGGCACCTGCCAGGGTTTCACACTCAGTCCCCAGTACAGAGCGTGAAGGAGGTAACCAATCATGGATTCTTATTGCCTAACACTCCCATGGCACTCACTATCACCGTTTCTTTCCCTGCACAGGTAGAATCCCTCATCATTCACAACTTGCCAAAGTGTTCTCGTTCAGAAAACGGTTCTAAATCAGTTCTTCCTAATAATAATAACAGCTATCATATACTGAGCACTTATTATGCAATAAGCTAAACAAAACTGCCACTTCATCCTCCCAGCAACCAATGAAGTCTCAACGTTCCCAACTTATAGATGAAAAAACTGAGGATCAGAGAAGATATTCAGTCAAAAAAGAAAAAGAGAGAGAGCGCACGCGAGCCCAAAGTCACACAACGTGGTAAGAAACTAAACCCGACTCCTTGCAGTTTAAGCTTTCAGGGGTCCTGCCTCTTAATGCTTACAACGGGAGCTCCTCCTAGACTCCCCTTTTGAGAGCTGCCTTCCAACGACCGACCTGCCCCACCACCCCCACATGACACCCCAGGACTCACCTGGATTTCCTCATTTTCATCTACGAGGAGGAAGCTCACCACCTTCTCGGTCATCTTCTTCCTCTTGGTCTCCTCGTCCATCTCCTCTTCCTCCAGGAACTCCTGGGCCTTCGGGACATGGTAGGCGGTGACGGCGTGTCTCCTCTTGTTACCCCCAGAATGAGTCCTCTTCTGGCACTCCAGGCACAAGTTGATCTTGCAGGCCTGGCACCTCACGGCCGCCCTCTGCCTCACCCCCGGCGAATGGCCGTTGGGACCCTTGCAGGGGTCGCAGTAAGGGACGTGGCCGGGCTTGAGTCTGATCCGCTCGTGGTTCCTCAGGCGCTCCTGCCGGTGCAGCTCCTCCTCGCAGCGGAGACACTGCAGGCTGCAGCACTCGTCGCACTCGAAGACAGCCTCGTCGCTGCCGCTGCAGGCGTAGCTCTCCTGGCACAGGAGCCCCGGGTTCAGGCCCTTCTGCGCCGGGGAGGTCTGAGCACTCATCCTCAGGCTGGTAAGGAAATCAGCCACCATACAACAGCCGCCGGGCTCTCCCCAGCAGTGAGGACAGAGGCTCTGAGGACGAAGACCACACAGAAATACCACAGGGTTCTGAACACCTTACCCTTCACACACACACACACACACACACATTCAGTGTCCCGTTAGAATGCTTCACACGCTCACAGATGTCCAAGTTCTTAACTTTCTGCCACCAAGGCTTCGGTATCAGCAGCAATGTTCATTTGGTTTGATGGTTTCGTCCTCCATAAAGTGCAGACAAATATGTGGTCCGAATTAACCTGGAAGGGTCTGTTATGGCTATCACAGAGAGAGAGCTGCCGGTTCACTGAGGTGGACTCATTAGTTGGGCCTCAAGCACAAGGTCTTGGTAAGGAAAGAGGGTGGTCAGAAGTGCTTCAATATAATCCAACCTCAAGTCAAAACTTCGGGGGTAACCTAAAATAAAGGAAGGAAAAGGATTTCACTCATCTAAAAACAGAAGTACACACACACACACACACACACACACACACAAAAAAAAGCAAGCCCTGGCCAGTTTACTCAGTGAGAGCATCAACCACTGGGCCCAAGGGCTCGAGTTCAATTCCCAGTCAAGGGCATGCACCTCGGTTGCAGGCTCGATCCCCAGCCCCACTGGGTAAGTGCGGGAGGCAACCAACCGATGTGTCTCTCTCACATCAATGTTTCTCTCTTTCTCTCTCTCCCCATCCCCTCCTCCATCCTCTCCTCTCTCTTAAAAAAAAAAATTAAAAAAAATCACTGGAGCCCGAGGGGGTCAATAGGGAAAAAAAGGGGACATATATAATAATTTCAACAATAAACAATTGTTTTAAACAATCGGTGGAGTGTTGGCTTCAGCAGCACATATACTAAAATTGGAACAATCCAGAGAAGATTGGCATGGTCCCTGGGCAAGGATGACATGCAAATTTGTGAAGAGTTCCATCTTTAAAAAAAAAAAAAAAAATCACTGAAAAAAATAAAATACTCTCAGGTGAGGAAAAAAAAAAAAAGATTGTGATTAAATACAACACCAAAACTCCTGTAAAAAAAATTCATTCTTGCTTGTAAAATTTACACTGGCTCAGCTTCGCCAACTTAGCTCACTGGTTGAGCATCAACCCATGAACCAAGAGATCACTGAACAGATTCTGGGTCAGGATACATGCATGGGTTGCAGGCACCATCACCAGTAGGCGGCGTGCAGGAGGTAGCTGATAAGAGGTTTCCCTCTCATCGGATGTTTCTATTTCTCTATTCCACTTCCTTTCTCTCTCTAAAATCAATTAAAAAAAATTTTTTTTTAATTTACACTGGTTCATTCTGACCTAGCAATTTCTTCTCAAAATTATGGTCAAATTGTCCTTTGAAAATAACCACTACCTCTAGGCCCAAGGCATCTAAGACTTTGCTACTTTATTTCCCAGACAGAAATTTTCTGTTCACTCAGTTATTAAATTCAGAATAAAAATCACTGGCCTTGCCGAAACCAGTTTGGCTCAGTGGTAGAGCGTCGGTCTGCGGACTTAAAGGTCCCAGGTTCGATTCCGGTCAAGGGCATGTACATTGGTTGCGGGCACATCCCCGGTAGGGGGTGTGCAAGAGGCAGCTGGTCGATGTTTCTCTCTCATCGACATTTCTAGCTCTCTATCCCTCTTTCCTTCTCTCTGTAAAAAATCAATAAAATATATTTTTTTTAAAAAATTCACTGGCCTAGCTGGCGTGGCTCAGTGGTTGAGCACTGACCTGTGAACCAGGAGGTCACAGTTTGATTCCTTGTCAGGGCACACGCCCAGGTTGAGGGCTAGATTTCCAGTGTGGGGCCTGCAGGAGGCAACCAATCAAGCCAATGGATGGTTCTCTCTGATCATTGATGTTTCCATCTCTCTCTCCCTCTCCCTTCCTCTCTAAAATAAATAAAAATATATATATTTTTAAATCCCTAAATAAAAAAACCTTCTGCACCCTCACATGCACTCCCCAATTGGGAGAGACAGAGAAAGAAGCCTGTAAAAAGCTAACGAAATGATAATAGTAATAAACTTCAGCTCCATCAAAGTACTAGAGTTGTTGCAAGTCTAGACAGATGCCTATTAAGAACTCTAAACCTGGAAACAAGAATCACCATTTCATGCTTGAAAACAATATAAAACAATTACTGAACTTCCTTTTGTTCCTTCTCTAACTGGGCACACAGACACACACACACAAAAAAAAGAGCAACAGGAGACAGAATTCCTCCACTGTGGCCCACCGCAAAGCCAGACCTGTAGTGAGTTAAAACCGTTTTTCTCTTTGTTACTCAAAAACTTAAAAAATACATATGTAACTGGGGCAGGAAAGGGGGCTTTTGTGACTTCTACAATTATCTTCCTAACCCCCCTTATCCTTGACACCCATTCTAAAGCCCCAACGAAATGCAAAGCCCTCTTTTCAGATATTTCCCACTCCTCCTACACAGAAATCCACCGATCAATCTTATTTTTAGATAAACAAGGAAGGCGAAGGGAGTGACTAGGAGACCTTATTTACACTCTAACCTCAGACAGCCCAACTAGCTAGCTCCCTCACGCAAACAAAAAATTTGTCGCGATTGAGAAAAATATAAAACCAGCCTTCAACAGCACACCTCGCCGCCCGCCGGGCAAAGCAAACAAGCTGCCCACTCTGCCCGCTCCCTCCCTCGGTATCCCCCTCCGGCCCGGGGATTCCTCACCCTTCCTCCCTCCCGGGCAACACCACCACAACCCGAGGATGGGTGGGAGCAGAGCCCACGAACAAAGAAGGTCCCCCCAAACCCCACACAAACACTGGCAGAGGCCAGAGCCCAATCTATTGTTTATGCTACCCCACCCCCACAACAGCCGCACCCGACACCCCCACCCCTCCCTCCTTGGGGGCAGCCTGAGCTCCCGAACTATATGGCTCGTCCCCGAGGCAGGGCCGTGCCCTTCCCTCCCCTCCCGCGACGGTCAGGGGACCCCACCGTGGAGCAGCTCGGCTGCGGCCAGGCGGCGTCGGGGGACCGCGGGTCGCCGGTGGTGGGGGGCGGGGGCTGTTTCTCAGGGCACCGGAGGATCCATCCTCATTTCCATCTCCCCCTCCACCTCCTTCGCAGCCTCCCGGGCTTCCTCCTCTCCTGTTGTCAGTTGTGATCAGCTGATCGGAGTGAACTTCTACCAGCTCCGACTAACAGGAAGGCGTGAGCTGTGAGTGCAGCCCCGGGAGGGAGGAGGGGGCGGGGGTGGAGTCTGTCGCGCCAAACGCGGAGAATGGTACGCACAGCTTGCTGGGAAATGTAGTTTCCTGGAGGGGCATCCTCCCTCTACACGACGGAAGTGGGGGGCCCTGAATGACTACAACTCCCAGTACGGAAGCGCTTGCTCGTGCCAGGAAGCGGGGGGGAAACAAGCCATGAAGCATTTCGGGAGTTGGAGTTTTTGCATTGGCTGTGGTTTCTGCTGTTTCCTGAGCGTTGTTTTGGGCACTGGCCCCAGACAGGATGACGTTAAGTTAGAGAGTTGATGTAATGTGTAGTATATGCAAAGTAATTTCATCTCAAATAACCCTTATTTCCCACCATTCCATCAGAAATGTGTAAAAGCAACCTCCACTTCCTCAATTTCACCATGTACAAAGTAGGGAGAAAAATAATTGATAAGAGAATAAAAGTACTCCTGAGAGTTTTGTTTTCTGTTTACCAGTATTCGCCAAGCCAACCATTACTTCCCACCTCCCCTACCTTTTATTTTTTCTGATGTCTCCTTACATAGTTTCTGAATTTTAAGTCATCCTTAAGTTAAACAGAATATATTTTCAAATAAGCTTGCAGGCCTCAGTGCAGGGTAATAGGTTAATACTGTTATCTGGCTTTATGTGAAAGGCCATATATTAGTTTAGTGTTTTCACTTTTGGGGTGTGTTTTTGTTTTGTTTTGTTTTGTTTTTTGTCTATTTGAATCTTGGAACAACACTGAAAGAAAGTGTGATGAAGTCAAAAGAGACTGATCTAAGATGCCAAGACTGAAAGCTTATTCTAGAAAGCTCATGAGAAAGTCACTCAATCACCCCATGAAATTAAGAAATTGTACTGTATAAACTCTGAAGTCTTTGCCAATTCTAACGTTCTATCATTCTATCTTGATAATTGTTAACCCAGGAGAGAATACTAAGGTTGAGTTATTTGACAGGTCACACAGCAAATTATTGACAAAACTGGGACAAGAACCCATCTCCTCAGCGGCTGCTGGAAAGAATGCCCTGGCAAGCAGCCAGAGGCCCCAGTTGGTCCTGATTGCTGGCCAGGCCTAGAGACCCTACCCATGCACGATTTTCGTGCATCAGGCCTCTAGTAATCAATAATATTCTAACAACTATGTATGGTGTCCCAGGTTGCAGGCTCAATCCCTAGTAGGAGGTGTGCAGGAGGCAGCTGATCAATGATTCTCTCTCATCATTGATGTTTCTCTCTCTCTCTCTTTCTTCTTCCTTCCTCTTTGAATCAGTAATATATTTAATATATATTCTATATATATTAAAAATATATAAAATAGCCAGGACCGGTTTGGCTCAGTGGATAGAGCGTAGGTCTGCGGACTGAAGGGTCCCAGGTTTGATTCTGGTCAGGGGCATGTACCTTGGTTGCGGGCACAAAAAAAAAAAAAAATATATATATATATATATATATATATATATATATATATATATATAATAAAAAATCTAAGACTTTACTAAAAAAAACAACAACAACATAAGTGAGATCATTAAAAAAAGAAAAGTCTTTGTCATATTAGAATTATTTTATAGCTACTTGACTAAATGTGCTGATTTGAAAAATAATGAATAGTTATTAAAATTCCATAATTGGCTGTGGCTGGTTTGGCTCAGTGGATAGTGTCAGCCTGCAGAATAAAGGTCCCGGGTTCGATTCTGGTTGGGAGCATATGCCTAGGTTGCAGGTTCGATCCACCCAATAGTGGGGGTGAAGGCGGCAGCCAATCTGTGATTCTCTCTCATCATTGATGGTCCTCTCTGAAATCAATTAAAAAATATATATTTTTTAAAATATATTTTATTGATTTTTTACAGAGAAGAAGGGAAAGAGATAAAGAGCTAGAAACATAGACGAGAGAGAGACATCGACCAGCCACCTCCTGCACATCCCCCACCGGGGATGTGCCTCCAACCAATGTACATGCCCTTGACTGGAATCGAACCCAGGACCCTTCAGTCCGCAGGCCGACGCTCTATCCACTGAGCCAAACCGGTTTCGGCTAAAAATATATTTTTTAAAAATTCCATGATTGTACATAAGTTAGCCTCAAAGCATTAAAAATAAAAATAAAATATTAAAAAAAAGAGACTCAGCTGGTGATTTAATCACAAACTCTTAATTTATTTATTTATTCATTCATTTTAGCATTCCTAATCGGGTGTTTTTCCCCCCCCCCCCCCATATATTTTTACTGATTCCAGAGAGGAAGGGAGAGGGAGAGAGAAATAGAAACATCAATGATGAGAGAGAATCACTGATCTGCTGCCTCCTGCACACCCCTTACTGGGGATTCAGCCTGCAACCTGGGCATGTGCCCTTAACCAGAATTGAACCAAGATCTTTCAGTTCGCAGGCCGAAGCTCTATCCACTGAGCCAAACCAATTAGGGCAAAAGAAGAAATGTTAGAAAGGTTAGGAAAGCAAGTTTTGCCCTAACCGGTTTGGCTCAGTGGATGGAGCGTCAGCCTGTGGACTGGAGGGTCCCAGGTTCGATTCCAGTCAGGGGGCGACTGATCGATGTTCCTAACTCTCTCTCTCCCTTCCTCTCTGTAAAAAATAAATAAAATATATTTAAAAAACAACAACAACAACAACAACAAACAAGTCTTTAGATAGGTTCTTGAGACTGGCTAGCCTACTGTAAAATTTCCCTAGAGGTTTTGTTCCTAAGACCACCAC